AAAGAAAGAAAGAAAGAAAGAAAGAAAGAAGGATGGAAGGAAGGAAGGAAGGAAGGAAGGAAGGAAGGAAGGAAGGAAGGAAGGAAGGAAGAAAAAAGAATCTATTTGTCAGTGGCTTGAGAGTTTTCTGAGCAGAACAAGAGAGAAGGTGATGGTACAACTTACTAAGAAATATTTTAATTGTGTATAATATAAGTAACCATATAAACATATAGGAAGAAATCTATTTCCATACTTTCTAACTTCATTGATAAGATAGGGCCAAACCAGTTCCTCTACTCTTTGAGCATTGGAGAAAAATACTATGTTCTTCATTTTTGTTTGTTTTGCTTTTCTTTTTAGGAAGTAGATCTTACAAGGCAAAAACTTCAGTAAATACAATTTATTAACTGATTTCCAATAGAGCTACAGCGATGCTATTTTTAGATATATTAAAATGGCTTAAAAACTTGATAAGCCAGCTGTCCATTCCACTGTGTAGGTGCAAAGACTAATTCTTGGTACACTGGATTTATTGTCCATTTGGCTCTTTGTCTTATAGGCCTTTTCTTAACAGTTATTTTCTATATCTATTATCTGTGCATCTGTTGGATAGCTATTCTCTCTTTTTCATTGTTTTAATATGTTTATTATCGTATCCTCAGGGTTTTTTTTTCCCAACATTCAGCTTGCAAAGTAGTATATCCAAAGTAGTATATGACATGACAGACAATTACTATCAGCCTCGATGTTTGTGGCGGCCAGCAGAGTTACATTGGATTAATCGTTATACTTTTGCTTGCAAACTGGCTGAGTTTTAGTAGCTTGTTTTCAATGGTTCTGTCCCCCTGTTAGTATTAAGTATGACTCATGAGTGACATTACTGAACCTGGTTATAAAGGCTTTTTATGCAATGTGTTCTGAGGAAAACACTGTGAATACTGTAGGAACTGTCTTGTTTACACCTTTAATCTTGCCTTTTTATTGTCCCTCCCTGTTCTATTTGTATCATAACCTTTTTGCTACCCACATGGTTTTTCTTGTCAAAGAATACCACCTCTCTCTTCAGAATTTTTCCACTACTGAATCGTTGTTTGTTTTGACCTCCAATAGCTTCTGACAAATTTCATTTTATTCCCTCTGTTATCTAAAAATGAACCTTATTTTGCACCAAATTCAACTAAATTACATTTTCTTGGCTTAGTCTATAGAATCCTAACTTGCTAATAGTTTTATATATCTTTCTAAAAAACAATTTTGGGGAACAGATGGCTGCAACTGCCCAGTATCAGCAGCCAAAACCACTAGTCAACTACCAACAATCTTTGGCACCTATACTAGTTCCTCATTATTAGATCTCTGGGAATGCTTGATAAAATTAGGATAATTCCTTTCTTACAGTCTTGACTCTGGTGTTTTCTAAAATAAAACAGTTACACTGACCATGGTAACAGTTATAATTCTAACACCACCAGGACCATTCCCATTGAGAGAGCTGTCAACATGAATCCTTGATAAGAACATGGGGATTTTTATTGTTATTTTCCTAATCAGAGATAATTGCTGTAGCAAATAAATGTTCACAGGGAATTGCAACTTAGGTTGCATCAGACTTCCTTTGGTTTACTGTGATATGCTTCCAGCAGAATAAATTACTTTCTACAGTAGTTGAGGTGTAGCAGAATTTCTATAGACGTACCTCCTGTCAGTATTATTGTTACAGAGTCTGTTTCAATGACTGTCTAAATTGAGAGCCAAACTAAATAAATTCTTTTTGTCAACAAACATTTATCGAGTGCCTGTCTTAAAAAGTATAAGGTACATTATCTACTATCATTAAAAAAAAAAAAAGCCCACCGTGCTGTTAAAACATTTTTCTTGGTATTAGTTCTTTTATATTGATGCAAAATCTTCAGGATTCATGTGGCATATTTTAACATTCCTTCTTCCTTCTTCTTCATGTGGCATATTTTAATCCTAGCTGGGGATGTTCTTTAGATTCGATGTCCTCTAATTTAACAAATATTATTTATGTGAATTTTTTTTGTAGGAAGCGATCAAATTTATCAGAAATATTCAAACAGTACGAAGTTGCATATTTATACTTGCATTTCACCAGAATGAAGCAAACATGATTGACAAGCAATCAAACACCAAAGTCTTCAGTAAGTGTTCTTAAGTATTTCATTGCCTTGCCCTAACACCACAGTCACTTCAGATGCTCACTGGTTTTTCTTGATATAACCTCTATCACCATATGCTCTCAGAGATATGTGTTTTAACCCTAAATAAATGTATGTTGAGCAATAACCATTTTATTTCTGCTTGACATAACTATGTGCCTTGTGTGAATGGTGGTAACAAATAGATTCTTATTACCTTTATTATGAGATTGACATTGTTCTCTCCATTTCAGATTGCTCTCTTTTAGAATGTAGACGTGATATCATCTATTGTTTTTGCCTTAATGAAATCCTTTTTCTTTCTTTTGTTAAAGGCACCCATTCCCAATATTACATGGTTCTAGAAGGACTACACATTAAATAAATAAACACCATGGTCAGATCTGGACAATCGGATTATCCTATTCCCCAGCACAGAGCGATTAATCTAAGAAGTGAGCACGTGAGTTTATTTCTGGTGTTGACATATGGAAACTGAGAGGAAAACACTTAATTTTTCCTTCTTCTATCTCAACAAAGTATTGCTGTCTAAGATATATTTCCTGATACTTGAAGAAGGTTTATCCACAATAGGTGAATATAAAGATAGTATATAAACCTGGTTAATATTTTATATCGATGATACATACTGTTTCATGGTGGCATTGAATCTCAGTTGTAAAGCTAAAACCCTTTGATCTTATGATCTCTCTACTATCTTGCCCAATTTCAGAAATATTCCCCTTTAAAAATTTTCACTGTTCTATAAAATTGCATGCAGGAAGTTTTGATTTATAGTATAGTTAATAAGGTGGTCCTACTTTAAAATAAATAATAAGAACAATAATAATAGCTAATATATATCTCAAATTTACTATGTATCAGAGACTGTTCCAGTGCTTTATACATATTAACTTCTTTAATCCTCACAATAACCCTATAAAAATTTAAGGCCCAGAGAAGTTAGATAAATTGTACAAGGCTTGTAGGGCAAAGTTACAATGTATGCGAGGTCATCTGACTCCAAAACTAACACTAAACCATGTTCATGTATTTGAAAAGGATTTCTGTAGAAGCTCTGAAGTCATCACTTTTTGTATAATAGGACCTAAATTTTATTGTCTCCTTGCTTACTTACTGTCAATACTGAAGTTAGGACTTTAATTTTTTTCAATTTTATTAAAGTATGATTGACAAATAAAATTGTATATATTTAAGGTGTACAATGTTCATCATAACCCTGAGGTGTAGAAATGATTTACAAATGATGAAACTTTAACTCTTAAATATTATGTAACTTATCCAAGGTCATAACTAATGAGAAAAGGAGACAGGATCTAAGTAATCATCTGAATCCAAGGCTTGCGTTCTTTGTGAGCAGAGGCATGTAAATGTTAAGACCTGAGAATTACTTTATATTATGGGTCTTCTTCAATAAATAACTTTCTTTAGGAGAGAAAGATAAACTCTTTTTCTGCATATGATGGTGCTCATAGCAAATCAGATGTTACTCTAAATTCCATCTGATCCTGCAAGATAGAGATAAATATAAAGTGCTATGCAAATGTTTGGGAAATGTTACAGAAATGTTTGAGACATGTTACAGAAAAGAGATGACAACTGACTTGGGACTTGAAGTATGAATGGAATTGGCCAGGCAAAGAAATAGGAAAGCAAATGTTTAAGACAGATTAGAAAAGCTTGAGCAAAGCAAAATGAAAAATTTCAACAATTGAGTTATTCACCGGCAATGGATTTTAGAAAGTGTGGAGATACTGAAGAAGTTGAAAAATTTGTTTGAAGCCAGGCAGTTAAGGGCTTTGTTTACTTAGACAAGTCAAATGCAATTGGCAATGGAGAGTCATCATAGACTTTTATTTTAAAAAACTGGTGTGATTGATTCACTTCCCAATTATTTATTGAACACTCATGATGTACAAAGTACTGCTCAAGCACTGTAGGAATCAATGAGATAAAGGCATATGCTGACATTATCACAAGGGAAGACAACAGCCATGTAAACGCACAAGACAAAGTGATATGGATTCTATAACAGATGTACAAGCAAAGTTGTAGAGCACTATGTAGAGTGCTCTTGATATAAGCCCTAGAATAAATTGGGATATCAGAGGTGGAGGTAATGGAGATGGATTTTAAAAGAAAAAAAAAATATGTGAGAACAGGAACACATTAGATATTATCAGTGGCAAGTAATCTCCTTTTGGCTTTTAA